TTCTCCTTCTCTTTCTCCTTCTCTTTCTCCTTCTCTTTCTCCTTCTCTTTCTCCTTCTCTCCTCTCCTCTCCTCTCCTCTCCTCTCCTCTTCTCTCCTCTTCTCTTCTCTTCTCTTCTCTTCTCTGACTCTTCCCACCTATGCTTTTGATCTGTCCATATTGTCGGAAGTTTGACTTTTAGGTTTCCTTCGATTTCTGTTATATCTTCAATAATTATAGCTATGTGTCATGTCACATGATTGTCATATGTGGTCCTTCCCCCCCAAGGACCAAATTAAAAACATCGGACAACATATGAGCGACGGCTCTTATTTGCGTATATGGAAAGTAGTATTCGGGCATACCCCGCTTTGTCAAAAACATCATATTTAGCTTGTAAAACGAGGTAGGAACACCCCGAGAACGAGGTAGGCAAAAACGTTACGGGACTGGAGAACGAGGTAGGAACACCCCGTCAATTGCGTTATGTAACAAATATGGTTCGCAGCTCATATGACACATATGAAATTTGGAACGATGCCAGGCCTGTGCCCGGCTGGAAGAGCTGTTTTGTTCCTTTTCGGAGCAGTTGAAGCACGGCAGTGGCAGTGGCAGCAGCGTGTCACGCCGCAGCATGGAACGGAAATCGTTGCAGGGGGTTGCTGCGATGGGGGATCTCGACTGGGGGCATCGACACGTGAGACCGGCGGCGCTGATGAAGGTGGAGGAGCCAAAGCGATGCTTGGGGCCAAAAGTTCGAAAGGTTGGAAAAGGGGTAATTGTTACTGTTTGTGTGATGACTTGGTTGAACATTCCGGGAGTCAAGCAATGTGGTGCCTGATTGGGTTGAATTGTTTTGTATCGTTTTGTGGTGACTGCGATGGTTGAATTTCACTTTCCAGAGTGGCCTAATTAGGCAATGGCTCTGATTGACTTAGATTTTTTTTGGCAGAAATATTCCCACATTTCTCATGTGAAGTTTGCAGCATAGGAAGGATCCTGCGGATGCCCAGGCAAAGAAGGAAGGTTTTGCAAACCCCACGGATCAGGACGATATATAGTTTTGGCACTTTTAAGATTTGGGACCTGAATGTTCGACAAAGAACCGTTCTTCAGCATATCGGTATGGCGATATCTGTAAGAACGCACGTAAACATGTGATAAATTGTGATAATAAGTATTTTTGCCTCCAGTGTTCTCAATTTTGTTTCGCATCTTTCAGTTGTGTGGTGGCTTTGGCGTTGCCCTAGCACGCAGTTGTTGCCATTTGTACATCGATACGCTCGAGTCGAGGCAAAGCAGGCCCAAGGCCATCGAATGTCTCTGCATCACTGAGGAAACAGCACAAATCTGGCTGACATTTGGCACGCCGTACGGGAACGGAAGGCAAAACTGAAGCCTCTGCTTAAGAAGGGGGTCGAGGCAAGGGTTAGAAAAGGATGGTGGGAAGGGGAGAGAAAGAAGTCTTGATATAATCTGCTACCGTTTTACTATGTTTGACTATGTTTTCTATACTGGATGCATTGCACAGAGTTTGAAAATCATCCTAAAACCGAAGCTTCTGATGGTGCAGGGCAGGTTCCTGGAAAGGTGAGTGGTGATCCCCAGCCTTGCCAAGAGTTCCCCAGGCATCGGAACGCAGCGTCTCCCCGGAGAAAGATTCAGACCAAGACTTCTCAGCTGAGGATGGTATTGATCCATCAGAGACTCAGCCAGATCCCGTTCCATCAGGGGAAGCTCGCAGAGTCGTGAAGCCAAAATTGAGGCCGCTCCCGGGTCTGTTGGATGAAGAGCCATCGGGGACTCAGCCAGATTCCGTTCCATCAGAAAACGCTCGCGGAGTCGTGAAGCCAAAATTGAGGCCACTCCCGGGTCTGTTGGATGAAGACTTGTCACCTCCACCACCCATGGCCGTAGATCATCCGTCAGCACCCCCCACTCAGCCGGAGCCCTTGGAGAATCTGGATACGGAGCAAAAGCCCTTGGCATCTGCGCTACAGAAAGCACCACGACATACGCGGCGAGTGTTGCCGGGCCTCATGGACAGCGAGCAAAGCCAACAAAGTGAAAGATCGCAGGAGGCCATTCGGCAGGTGTTCAACCATGCTTGTGATGATCACACTTAACATATCTTAAAATGATATATATATATTATATATATAATACTGTATACATACAAGCTATACAAGCTTTAACGGTGGATGTCATTTTCTTGGCTGACAACTGATGTGTTGAGATGGGTGGCCATGATGGGTGGCCATAGGTGTTTGTCCATTCATGCTTCATGAGATTTCATCAGTTCATTCCCCTCTGCAACAACTAATCAAGGGATCTGCGGATTCGTCCGGAAGACCTTTAGCAGTGATATGCTGGGGGCTGCTCTCAGGTGCAATTTGAAGGGGCGCAGCTCAGTCACAGATCAAATGAGCCGGAGAAGAACGAAGATCGGACAGAAGATCGGACAGAAGATCGGACAGAAGATCGGACAGAAGATGAGGCCGATCTGGGAAAATGGAGTCACTCTCAATTCGTCCCCTATGATTCATATTACAGTCCAACCCAATTTTATAGTAAGATTTTGTTACAAATAGAGATATGTATATATATATATTATATTATAAATGTATATATATATATATATGTGTGTATATATATATATATTACCGAAGGAAGTTTAGTTCGAAAACTTCAGAGTTACGGACCTTTGTCCAGGCGTGTCATGATCTCAACCACCTAGTGAGCAAGAAGAGTTCACGTGTAGGAGCACTATAGAGAGTACAGTAGTAGTTCCGGAACACGTGCATTCACGGGTGAAAACAGTGTGTTAAACACTCTCGGGCGCGAAACCTTGTGTTTTTTTAGGTGCTATAAGCAATGTGGCTCATGGGCTCGCCGAAGTAGGGTCTCTGTTTCCGCGGGCCTCGATCTGGGAAAGTTGTCGACAAAAAGTGCACAGGACCGTAGCGAGCTCGATCTGCACTTGAAAATGTTTGAAAAAAATGTCATTCTGCGCCCTTTTGGAGGATGATGTCGGCAAAATGTGCGTCAGGTCGATTTTATATAAAGGTCGCCAAATAAACACCATGTTCGGAGTGGCGCGGAGTCGTCCCCGTTGTCGGCGCTGCGTGAAGGTGGGTTAATTTCGTGATATTTCGTGCAATGCTCCTGCTACTCGGGTTTGCGGCCGGCTGAGACAAGACGCATTGGCACGGCAATGCTGCTCTTCTGCTAGTCGGGATTGCAGCTGGAAGTTGCTAGACGCATTGTAACAGCTGCGGGAAGGGTAGTTTTTGACCATAGTGCTATTCGTGTACTATGCGGGATTGCAGCTGGAGGCTAAGAAACGCATTGTAACAGCTGAAGTTTAGTAAATGAATTGCAGTGGTTGCGTGACTGATAAGTAAGGATTGGTAAGGTTTAAGTGAGGAATTCTAGTTCTCGGTAGTCGAGGAGCGGTGAGAAGAAGCTGGTTAAGCGAAGGAGGGTACTTACTATAGCAAAGAAGGGCACTATAGTGGAGAGAATCTATGCTGGAGAGAAGCTGTACGGTTGGAATTCCGTCCCGGCCCGAGATAGACAGATTGATGGATAGAAAGATCTAGATTGATCGATCGATAGATGGACATATCGATAGTTGGATAGAGGACACATAAAGAGATGGATTGAAGAATAGATATATAGGTAGACACGGATAGATAGATAGATAGGTAGGTAGGTAGGTAGACAGACAGACAGACAGACAGATAGATAGATAGACAGACAGATAGATAAATAGATAGATAGATGGAAAGATAGATGGGCAGGCATACCGACAGACATACTAATAGACATAGAGAAGAGGTTGAAACGAGATGATTTCAATTCTACTTATATTTATCTTGTGGCGTGGGTCTCTCCAGACAGCACCAGTGAGGAAAGTAGTGACATCAAATTCTGATGGTGAGCTTCAGCCTTCAATCGCACTTTGTTGCTGCTGCTTTATCAATCAAAAAAGCTTGTCTTTCTAAATCAGGAAAAAGGTTGAGGCGAGCTGACTTCAGTTCTAGTAATCTATGTGCATATCTTGCGGCGTGAGTCTCTCTGGACAGCGCTGGTGAGGAAAGTAGTGACGTAGGAGGGTTCAAATTGTGGTGGCGACAGCTTGCGACCTTGTCGCCTTGCCCCTTACCGAACAGCGAGCGCTCTAGTGGTGCGCGCTGTCGTCGTCGCTGGCCGAACGGCGGGGGTGGCAGCGCTCTTGCGGCGTTGCCTTGAGCGGGAGGCCGCTCATTTATTCATTCGTTCCTTCCTTCCTTCCTTCTCTTCTCCCTTCATTCCTTCATTCATTCAATTTTTCTGTCCTTCATGAAATTCATTCATCCATTCATTCTTGCCTGCATTAATTTATTCATTCATTCCTTCCATTCATTCGCTTATTCATTCATGAAAGGAAAACTTGTACATGATTCACTCATGTTCACTCCTGTGAAGCACATGACAGTCCTCGGTCCTCCTCAGCACCCGCATCTGGGCACTACAAATGGCAGTCGCTGTGGTAAAGGTGTAGCATGTCTTAGTTTCATGGTCATTGTGACGCCCGAAGAGGCTGCGACAAGACCCTGGAGGAGGAGGAGATTCCATGTAAAACCTTTCTGCTAACTGCTACGTCTCTACTGTGTACTTCTTGTTTCATGCCTTCATGCATTCATCCATCCATCCATCCATGCATTCATTTGTTCATTCATTCATTCGTTCGTTCGTTCGTTCATTCATTGATTCATTGATTCATTGATTCATTCATTCATTCATTCATTCGTTCATTCATTCATTCATTCATGCATTCATTCATTCATTCATTCACTCATTCACTCATTCACTCATTCACTCATTCACTCATTCATTCATTCATTCATTCATTCATTCATTGATTCACTCATTCACTCATTCATTCGTTCGTTCGTTCGTTTGTTCATTTCTTCATTTGTTCATTCGTTCATTCTTTTTTTCTTTCTGTTCATTTCATTTCTTTTTATTTCATTTTACTTCATTTCATTTCATTTTCATTGCGCTTCATTTCTTTTCATTTTATTTCATTTCATTTGATTTCATTTCATTTCATTTTATTTCATTTCATTCATTCATTCTTTCATTCATGCGTCCATTGATTCCTTCCCTCCTTTTGTTCATTCTTTCATTCTTTCACTCATTCATCCATTCCTTCCTTCCTTCCGACCTTCCTTCCGCCATTCCTTCCGTGTATCTTTTTTTCGTGGCAAAGCTTCATCGTATCCTTTTTCCAGCTCAAACAAATCCTTTAGGCTTTCTTCTTCCTACAGTCAGTTCCAATTTTGGAAACTTCCGCCCCGGCACGGGCTGGGCACTATCTGTTTAAGATTTGATGAGATTGACAGAGATTCGTAGAGATTCGCTAGATGATGTAGATGCACTGCTGACTTGAAAACTGCCTGGTATGCAGCAAGTGTGGTGGATCGCTTTGATTGCAGATATCAGCAATGTTTTGCCTTGATGGTGTGGGATTGCAGCCTCCCATTTGGTAGCGGCATGTAGCAGGTTCCTGACGTGCTCAACCGGCAGCCGGCCCCCCGGGGCAAGTCTGTCCGAAGGAAGACTCGGGCGACGGGAAAGATGTCAACAGTGTGGGTGTCTTGTTTGCTTTGAACAGACTGCACCGGGAGAAACTAGTTTTTGTTAAAATATGTTAAAATACTACTATATTTCGAAATAAATGACTAATCATATATATTTATTGTTTATATATATATATATTATGTATGTGTGTGGGGGCCCTTCATCCAGCCCCAATACGTTCAAGCACCGTCTAAGAGTGTACAGAAGATTGCGCCCTATGCGGGTCTGAAAGCTGCTGTTCCGAGGATCCTTTGGTGCAACGGGTGAATCAGCCGACGGGAATGGATGCGAGTGAGTATTCAGCATCAGAGAGCGTTGCAGAGGGAGGAGGCATCTCGGCTTACAAAATCTCGGATGACAGTGGAAACGGTACTCCGAGACCCAATATCAATAATTAATATCAAACCATTATTATTATCAATGCATCAGTAGGCCCAGTAGGTTGACTGGGGTGTGGTCTGGGTGTACACGTCCACCATTTTATACCTTGGTACAGTGGTCGACGCAAGATGACGGAAGTTTAGATGTCAAACTTCCGACAATATGGACAGATGGAAAAGCAGAGGTGGGAAGAGTCAGAAAGGAGAAGAGCAGAAGAGAGAAGATCAGAGAAGAGAAAGAGAAAGAAGATGCAGGTGTGCGAAAAGGTAGGAAAGTCGCGAAACACTGTGTTTTTCCAATGCTTTAAGGCTCCGGATGGTCGAAAAGTAGGCTCGCTAAAGCGGCGGGTGCGGAGCCATCATGAGCCATCTGGCCAGATGAGAGATGAAAAATTGCACGCTGTTGTGCGAAGCACATTTTCAAGTCGAAATGTTCAAGACGCACCAACGTCAGAGCACTTTTGGAAGTTGCGATGTCGAAAAAGTGCACGCGGTTGTGGCACGAACAGCTTTTCCAAGTCAAAATGTACAAAGCACGTCAGTGTCGGACCGCTTTTGGAAGTTGAGATGTCGAAAAAGTGGACGCCGTTGTAGCGCGAAGCACATTTCCAAGTCAAAATGTAAAAAACACATCAAAACACACCATTCTCGGACCACTTTTGGAAGTTGACATGTCGAAAAGTTGCACGCCGTTGTGGCGCGGAGCACAATTCCAAGTCAAAAAATGACGGGCACAGAGCACTTTTGGACGTTCAGATGTCGTTTCGCGTGGCCGGCGCAAGGGATTGTGCACCTTGTCAAAAGCGAGCAGGACGTGAGGGTTTTGTCGCATTTCCAAAAACCATGGCAGGCGTGGGACATTTGAAGAGGATCTGCAAAGATGCATTTTGCGTGGCAGGCGCGCAGTACAAGAGACATGTTCATCAGGGATGTTAGGAGGTCCGGGCGCTACTGTCCTGAGAGGAGTTGCATTTTGGAGCATCACATCTTCAGTTTTGGGAAAATGATTTTGTGTGACAGGTGCAGCACGTCGTATGACCTGGCATCACTTTTTCGTGGCAGGCGCAACACTTTAGAGACATGGATTAGAAAAATCGCAAAACGTATTGGCACGAGGCTGTCAGCTCTGCACTCAACTTTCCATTTTTGAAGGAAGTCTCGCAGAATTGCTTCGCTTTTTGATGTTGCCAACTTCAAAAATTGAGGAAGTCTGGCAGAATTGCTGCGTTTTTGATGTTGTCAATTATATAAACAAATTGAGGATGCCTCGCAGAAAAGCTTCGTTTTCAAGCTTGCAGGTAGATAGATAGATAGATGGATTTATCGATAGATAGATAGACAACTACAACTACACATGCAAATTAACTACGCTACAGTACACTAATTGCACTACGCTACGCTACACTACACCACACGACACCACACCACACCACACCACACCACACCACACCAACAACAGTACACTACACTAATTACACTACAACTACAACTACAAACAACTACTATTACTACAGCTACAGCTACAACTACACTACATTACATTGCACAAATCACATTACGCCAATTACATTACACCACGCTACGCTACACTAGACTACAGCTACAACTACAACTACAACTACACTACACTAGGCTACACTAATTACACTACAACTACAACTACAAACAACTACACCAAATACACTACACTGTGCTACGCTACACTACACTACACTCCACTAACTACAACTGCAGCTACAACTACAAGTACACTACTTTACACTACACTACACTACACTACACTACTTTACACTACACTACACTAGACTACACTACTTTACACTACACTACACTAGACTACACTACAACACACAACACTATATACCTCACACTACACTACACTGCATTGCATTGCGCTACACTCATTACACCGCATGACGACTACAACTGCAACTACACTACACTGATTTACACTACACTACAGCTACAGCTCCACTACGCTACAAGTACAACTACAGCTGCCCTACACCACACTACATCCAGTAGTTGTGGGTGAGGTGACCACTGCAACCATTGCATTGACTCCAAAAAACGCAACTCCAACCACCTTTCGGTCCATCAGTGGATTCGCTCTGCCATCCATGCATCGCAACAACTCACCTCTCCTATAGTGTCCTATCCTTGAAACTTCCGCCACCGCCTTGTGCGGCACTACTGGTACCCACTTCAATTATCTTATATCTATTCATACCTTGATAACTTGTCTCAGGAAAGTCGTGCTGGCAGATCTATGAGATGGTCATCTACGCTTGGCCTTTGGAGTATTTGGTCCTCACGGCCATTTTGATTAATGCGGTGATCATCGGCCTGGAGACGGACACCATGTCGCGGCAGTTGCTAACGGAGCCGCCAAATCAGTTCATAATTTTCGGATGGGCCTTTTGTGCCTGGGACTCCGTTGATGGCTGGGTTGGTTTGATATTAGATTAACCACGATATACCACGATAAACCCAATTCTGTATCTTGGAGCATGATGGACTATGGCCTTGGTTGCCTTTTTGGGATGACCAAAACTTTGTTGATGGCTGCGGTTTTCAACCATCCCCCAAGTGGAGGTTTCACTATAAACGGTTTACCACAGTAATGGAAATTTTAACATCGGCTGGTTTAGCACGCATCATTCGGATGCAAGATGTGGCAAAGTGCATCATCTAACTTCCCTAAACGCCGTACCAGTAGAAGAGGATGACACAATGCTTTAGGCAATGCTCAGTTATCGAATTTGCACCTCATCATCCCAGTGGAAGACCAAGTTGCTTGGTAGTTTTGTAGCCTTGAAGATGTCCACAACATGCGGCAACAGTGGTCACAAATCGGCCGTTTCTTTGCCGAGGCATATTTTTTACGCTTGAGATGGTGCTGAAAATTAGTGCAAATCCCAATCGATTCTTCAAGGGTCTTGGTTGGCAGATGAATATCTTTGACTTGTCCCTGGTTGCGCTGCAGTGGCTGGACGATCCTCGCCTGAAATCAGCGGTGCATGTGGCCATGTGGCCCTTTTGGATGATCAGCTGTGCCACCAAGGTCTTTGTGACTGCCTCTGCCACCGACGACTCCAGTTCTACGAATTTCAATGTCATGCGGATTGTCAGGACGGAAAAAAACATGTTTTAAATTTTAAACATATTTCAACCATTTCATGAAAATGTTGGGGAATCAAAGATGGCAGCGGCGGAACCGCGATGCCGGGCCATGACAGGATGGTGCGCTTGGTGCGGATTGTCCGCAGCTACCGCGTCCTGAGGTGCCGGGCAATGCTGATTACTGCTGTATAACCTAGATATACCTAGATATACCTAGATATACCTAGATATTTGCCAGGAGATGCAGCCTTGCGGATGATTGAACCCCCAAAGCGTCGAAAGAAAGATAGATTTAAAGGCAAATGAAACCAGTTCAATTCAGTAGCCATGGAAGATATGGAAGCGGATTGCGGCTAAGTCACGACAAACCTTCGGTATTCAACACTTAGATTCATCCTTCCAAACAGATTTTCCCCTGCCACAGGATGCTGGGTGAAGTACGGGCCATTGTGTGGTCCGTGGGCACTTCCTTTAAGCCTTTGTTGGGAGCCATGTGCCTTGTTTTTGAAGGGCACATGCTTCGGTTGATGTTTGGTATTTGTATGATTCTGTATGTATCTATACAATTCATTACAATTCTATACATATCATATTCTTGGTTTTGGTTGATGTTGGTGGGTTCAGCGATGGTTGATGTTGCCCAGCCCTACTTGGAGTGACGATTTTCAAGTATCGAGCATAGTCTTCAAACCGTGAACGTCTGTAAGCCAGGTATGTTCTTGGTAGAGGTGGCCCCTTCCATTTTCTGGCATGGAATAATGATGCATGGAACTAGAAAATGGCATTTCTCCTTCATGTTGTCCTCATTCAATGGGATTGGAATGGATTGGAAGCATTCAATGTGTTGGGGAATTCCTGAGGGATCATGAGGGTAGTATATTATATTGAAATGTAATATAGCATATAATATATAAGATATATAGATATATATAGACATGTATATACGTGCAACGTCGCCACGAAAACTGAGGCTTGTGCTTATTGGAGTGATGCCTAGCTGCATCTGAATAGATCTTTCATGCTAGATGCTTTCATAGGAGGTCCAGCATTGCTCGATGGCGAGATGATGACGCGCAGCTGCACCGGAAATGAGAGGAAACGAACCAGTCACATTTTGAAATCCTTTGATGCCAAGGATATATTTGATGGCAGTTTACCTGGTTGATACTTGCAATGCGTATCGAGTGTCTATGGAAAGCACAGATGCCGGTTTCCAACCTTTGGGGAACTACTTCGGGTCCGTAGGTGGAGGCGCTGCACCGATGTTCCAAGCACTGACTGTCAGGCATTCGGCCGCCATTCGGCCGCCATTCGGCCGCCATTCTGAAATTTTCCCCTGCAGGTATGCTGACGTTATGGCAGGCAATGACTGGTGGATTAGACTGGGCTTCTGTGATGTCACCTTTGTTGGAACCTCACCCGCATCAGTCAGACTGTGCTGTTGTGGATGTTGTGCTGGGTATTCTACTTTTCTTGGCATTTTGCAGTCAGAGGCTTGCAATTGTGGAGGATCAATGGTCTGTTTGTTTTTTCTCCGCAGTTTTGTTGATAGTCACGTTTCTGTTGCTTCAGTTTTCTCCTCTTGCTGAGCTCATTGGTGTCAGGAGCATACATCTCCCATCGCAGTTGCCATTTTCCTTTTCTACATAGCTTTCAGTTTGCCACTTTCCTGCAGGAAGTCATGTCGCTCTGTGCATCACATTGTTTTTTTTGCCAGATTGGTAAAACGTGACAAACCCAACAATAGACTCAATAGACCATCCCCAATGTTACCATAAATGGGTGCTCAAATCATCCAAAAATTGTAGGTTAATGATTGGGTTTACCACATTAAGGGTCATCAACAACCCAGGCTTGCACTTCTCAATCTCATCACAGGTGTGCCTTGGTGAAGCATTTCAGTTGCGGTGCCCAAAGATTGGGAAACCTTCCAAAACCGCGAGGTCACTTAAAACCTAATTCTTGCATGTCCCCCAGGGCCCAATAGGGCCCCAGGAAGATCATGTTTTTCCTTGACATTGGCAAACAGATGCAAAAAGCTGATCAGTTGTTTTTTCCTCTCCCACCTTCGAACCCATCTCCAGTGCTCTTATCCAAGCCCAGGTTTTCGTTGAAAGTGCGGTGAAACGGGGCAAGGAGGACAAAGACAACTACTTGGTCCAATACGTCCGCGGAGTCTTTAAGCACCTCGCTGTGGAAAACGTTTCAAGAGCCGGTATGGCCGGTATGGGAATTTAACCGGCAAATATCAGGATTTGCCAGATTTACAGCTGATTTACCAACAATAAGTGGAAATTCCAAGAACCTGGTATGGATATGAGTTTGCAAGTTTTCCTTAACAGCCATGGGGAAGTCGCCAGCAGAAGCAGAAAATAGGGACACAAAGCAACACTGTTTGTTGGTGGTTTCAAATAAATTCTAGTTTCAACCCTAGACATCGGATGATGATCAACAATGACTGTTTTTTTTGCTGGATTGCCAACACTAGTGGTGTCCAGCACTCCATTGACATGGCAAATAAAATTTTGATGAACTCAAGCACGGTTCCTTTACCATCCTTTGCCCAATTCTACAGGCGTATGACCTAAAGACCAAACCCACAACCAGTGTGTACTATTAGGTTTCCCATAATGAGTTGTCAATGAAGCGTTCCATCCCCAAGGGTTGCCCCCTACGCCCAGGAAAATGGAACAGACCAACGCCAGGGTCATCACTTGGGAAGACTTTCAAGTACCATGACCTTTTGGGTCACGGTGCCCCTCGAGGGGGGAAACTGTCGTATACTGTTGTCACAGATGGCAATGTTTGGGGGGGTTGGGTGGAGGCAATAACAATCTATTGCGTTCATAGATGAGTTCTAGTGTAGGCGGTAACACCCGGTAGGATCCTTTCCCTGACTTTCAACCAACCCTTTCAACTAACTTCCTTTTGAAGTAACTTCCACGACTCTCTGGATGCAACGTCGTAACATCCTCTTCAAGTAACTTCCAAAACGCTCTGGATCCTACGTTGTAAAATCCTTTTCAAGTAACCTCCAAGACAGATGCTACGTGGAAAAATCCTTTTCACGTAACTTCCAAGACACTCTTGATGCTACGTTGTAACATCTCCATTTCAAGTAACTTCCAAGATGCTCTGGATCCTACATTGAAACGTCCTTTTCAAGTATTTTCCAAGACGCTCTTGATGCTACATTGTGATTTCCATGTCAACTCTTTCAAGACGCTTTGGATCCTACGTTGTAAAATCCTTTTCAATGATTCAAGTAACTTCCAAGCCGCTCTTGATGGAGCGTTGTAACTTCCATTTCAAGTAACTTTCAACACACTCTGGTTTTTTTCTTCGAAGTTGAATGTGCAAGGCACAAGCGCTGCTCTCATGAGACACTGGATACCCCCTTGGGGATGAGTTGAACCGTTTTGTTTCAAAAGCATTGAAAGCGCCCCACAGGTGCTGTAACCACGTTTTGATGGTTCAAGTCTACTTGAATCCCAATTTCGATGATTACAACTTACAACCTTATAACATATAGTAACTAGTATCATATAGATATATATATATATATATTATTTTTTGATGATTAGCTTCTGGGAGCCACACTTAGTATCACAAAATATCTAATAAACAAATACGCATCTACACTGTATGAAGATATCGACCTTTTTTTCCCAAAATGTCACTGACACAGCCGCAGTCCAAGGCTAGCCTGGACACCAACGAGATGAAAGAGTTGTTCAAGGCCATTGATCTGGACATCTCTGAAGCGCATTGCGTGACCTGCTGAAACCTGCTTTTTTTGGCGGAAATTCCATGGGGATGGAATGGGGATGTACTGGGTACGTAATGGCTACACAAAAGGATGGAGATCATGGTGGGGATACAATACTGAATTCATATTATATACAATACTTATGGTTTTGCAATGATGAATTAAGATGATTGATTTCCTGGCCTGCTCCAAAAAAGTATTTGATGCCAGGTTTTTCGATGCAGTTGCCCAACCACCATCAACCACCATCAACCAGCGGGGTCCTGGGCGGATCCAAGGTCTTTAAGATCCTTGATTTGGATGATGACGGTGCGCTTGATGCGGATGAGTTCCTGAGTGGCTGCCTGAGATTGCGAGGTCCAGCCAAAACACTTGATGTCTTGGTCGCTCGGCGGAAAATCAGGTACAAAAAAAGGTGTTTTTTTTCAGCCCAAGAATCAATCATACCCAATTCTTCACCAGAAATAGGTGGTATAACCCCTCACTATTGGAGGTTTTATTCGTAGGTTACTAGTGTATAGCGTATCAGACACCATATCTACGGATTTTTTAGGAACCTCTTTGACAGGATCTGAGGGTATCTACCCCAAATTGTTGGTTCTTACATAGCGCCGTGATGCGTCGTGTGTTTTAATCTTTGGCTTGAGTCAGGCTTATACGAACTGACTAGTTTAGAAATCAATGACCCCTTTTGGTTCAAAGAAATCAATAGAAAATATGGATCCTTCAATGAAACAGCACACTCTGTTTAGCTTCATACATAGACTTCAAACTTATAGACTTAATCCAAATCGATGACCCTCCCTGCCCCCAAAATGAACTCCTTACAGTCAAGAATTGGGTGTTTTGCACTTTTATGATAGTCGCAGGACTTTGGTTTCTAGCTCAATGGCAAAAAAAACGAAATGCCTGCACTTTGGGTTTCCACATGTGGATTAATTTTATATAATTTATATACATATTATTCTGATTCTATATATATATATATGATTATATATGCATTATATACACATTTGTGGTCGCATATAGTTACATAATACCAGTCAAGAAAGAGACCCTCTCTACCTTGGGAAATTTAGGTCATATTGGCACCAATCATCCCATTTGTTTTGACTCGATCTCAATTTGTGTTTCTCTATTCTGATGTTGTCCCAATTTTAATCATTTAAGTTGGTTCTACCGGGTCATGTCATATCTTCTTTTTTGCTGGTTGAAACATATTTTTTTTTAAAAAAAAATGTATTACTCACTCAGCGGGCTCCCTTAACCTGCTCGACTCCGCGAAACGTCTAGGTTCTCATGAGGGAGATTCGGAGCATGCAGAATCAGATCATGGAACAGATGGAGGGCGCACCCCCAGAGGAATGACGAGCGCGTTGTGGCTCATCAGCCGGGCTGATGTGATGTCTCCATGAATTTGACCGAAATCAAGTTGAGGTGAAAATACCGAATGGGTTGATGATATGGCATGATGGCATGATATGGCAAACAAGAATGGAGATGTTGACTAACAAAGTGGGGATGTTGGATGACAACAATGCGAAAATCAGCATAGGCACCGTGTGAATATCACCCACAAGAATGGGTACATCAATGTGTCTACCATGTCGCCCATCATTTTCATGGGTCTCTCCAGCCCTAAATCCGCCGATTAAATCCTTTGAATCCATTTGGCCCATGTTGGGGAAAACCTGGTGCAGTTCTGTGAGACACACCCAGATGAGCCGAAACCAGATTTGAAATGTGAATTTTCGTTTGGACTTTGCGAAAACCACCAGCTGCTTAAGTTCCTTCCAAGAGGCAGAGGCCAGAGTTCCAGAACGAACATTTTTCACCAATAACCATTAATCATTAATCATGAATCATTCATTTCGGACTTGTTGGCTAGCTTTAGGTCAGGGCAGCTGGTGTATTGTAGTCACTGTAGTCTTGTTGATCTTCGATGCTTGGCTCGTTGCCGCATCCACAGCTAGCCCGATTGAAGTCATCGCCAAAGGCGATGGAACGCCGTACCAAGAATCAGAGTGGGTTCCGCTGCAGAGCACGGGATCCTTCAAACCCAAGCGGAAGAATGAAGATGTCATGAGATGGCACGATAAACGAGGATGTGAACAAGAGGATATCATTTACACATATAGATTCATGATGGAAGTGTGGGATTTTTGTTTCAAATATATTTTGGCAGGGCAGGTTGAAGCCACCAAGATAAGACATGTATACTGGTATGTACTCCAAGTAATCCAACTACTTGACTATTTTTCTAGTTGCATTGCAGACTTGTCAAAACTTGTGCCGCTTCGCTGTTCCGTGCCCTAGGGTTGCAGCTGCAACCTTTTGGCCAGCTCCTGAACACTCGGAAGCTTTGTTCCTCCAAAATTATTGCGGGATTGGCAGCCTGGAGGGGAGCCCTGAGGGATCTGAAGGCTCGTGATGCAGGTGAGTACTTTGTCCTGGCGTTGCATGAGACTTCATACCATTGGGAGAGAATGTTGAGCGTTGAAACTTATTCCACTCTCACCGTCACGTCATTGCTTTGATTTTCCTGCTTAAACTGGACCACCATGGACCACCATGACGTGGCAGTGCTTTTCCATCTCATTCAACCGCCAAGTGGCGAAGCTTTTGAGCTTTCCACCCCGCAGCTGGCTGGCTCAACGGGGGCTGCCATGATGACTTCGCCCCCGAAGGCATCCGAAGGCTGGAATTGCTTCAGTGGTGAATCCCTGACAGCTTCAACTGTACATATATTGGGTCAAGGCATTGTTCTATAGTGTTTTTTTGGCTGATCCAAAATGTATACTGAGACTATCAATGTTCAGTTTCGAAGTGATTTCAATGAACCAACCCGGGAGGGATGTGACGGGCATGATTGCAAATGATCATCCAAGCTGCACCCTGAGCCATGGCGACCAACCACAGGGCCTCAGGGACATCAGTTGCTTGGACTGTCCATTCCTTGAATGGGGACATCTAATCTGTAAATTTCTGTTGCAAGTGTTGGATATGTTTTTTTTAATGTTTGGATAGAATTTCGAGAAAACCCCATTGAGTTCGAGGATTTTACCATTTAAATGACCATGTACATCCATTTCCCATAGGATCCATGGTGCTGCTATATATGGTAACATGGATCCCATCAATATACCCCAGTCATGTTAGCATTTTTCTCCCAGCACCATGGATCCGTCATGGGTTTATACAGGGGGGATTTCCCAGCTATCGTTGAAGCAGCAGATACATCCAGACATGGCTTCAACGTGGCGAAAAACGCCAAGTTACCATGCGATTCCATGCGATTCCAATGGGGAAACATGTATGAACATGTATGAGATAAACATAGATAAACCATGATAAGTCATGATAAGTCATGATGAAGTTGGAGTGTTCCATAATGTTCCCAACAAAGCCATACAAAAATGGCAACATGTTCGGTCGACTAGGTACACGATTTTGCTGATGCTCAATGATGCTCTATGTCACGAGGCCGGGTTGCCACACAACTACTGCATCCTCCAGATGATCCAAATGGATCCAACTGGTGTCAGACTGAATGGAACTGGTGGATTTACACCGTTTCTCTATATATCTGTTATATATTTGTTATTTATATGTTTATAGCAATTCAATGCTTTTCATAGCTTGATTTTGCGGGAGATTTGTCCGCTTTTTGGGATCGTTTCGGAGCGGCTTACTCAGTGACGACTTCAGTGAAATGTTTAACGAAGGGAATCGGCGCAGGATTTTGCTGCTCTCAGGATGTCTTGTTTGGTGAAAAAGACGGTAGAAACAACATGAAGCACTAGACATATTTGTATAGGATGTCTAGTCTAGACTATAGATATGCAACATTTTGAGAACAAAACCTTCAAACAAGACTCATCCTAGAATGCAATAGACATTGGGATTGCATAATATGATTGCAAGCACGACTGAGAGAGCCATAAGTTATCGATCCCTGAGCTACAATTTTCCCCGTGGTTCCAGCGGCGCGATGCGGATGTCTTTGTTTATCGCCACGCTTTGCCTGTGCTTGATCTTCGTCCAGGGCTGGTGGTGCCAGGTTTCTCATGGTAGCTGTGTCGGGCAAGGCCACGATCTGCAGAGGGATCCAAATTTTGAGGCCGGCTGCAAAAGCCGCGAGAACAGTGCAACAAAAACAGAATTGATTGGTACTTTCTGGAAGTTTGTTGGTGGTTGGTTTTGGTTTGAAACAGTTTGACTTTGACATCTCACGTTCTGTTTTGATGTTCACTCTCCGTATACCTGAGTGAGCGCGATTCTGATGCTGCCACCAGGCACACGTAGCGCCATCGCTAAAAGGCGACCACTTCGGTGGTACCTTGCGATTGGTTGACTGGGACGCTGATGGCGACGTTGATGTCCTGGCAAGTGATGCAGGGTCAATTTGGTTCCATGAGAGACTTCCAGGAGACGTTTTTCGAAAGCATGAGTTGCTGAACCTCACAGAGTTCACACCTAGAGAAGGACAAAGTCGATTTCACTTCTGGTCATGTTTTCTGCCAGGCAAAAAACCATCATACTGCAACTTCCCAACAGGTCGATTTGAAGTTGCAGATTGGGATGGTGACCGGCTCTGCAAGTTTGGTAGCGCTTTCATCATTTACTTTCAGTTTTGATCTCCCTCTTTGCTGACGTTTTGCTCGTTGTTTTGTTCTTTGGAGGGTTGACATGGAGCCCATGGAGTGACCAAACGCCACCAAAAGGGAGCAGAAAGGTGACCATTCATAGCACCTGCCGTGCAGGTGACCAGCGGCTGGATTTGCTGATTTGCAGTCTGGCAGTTGATGTTGTGACCGTGCGATGGTTAAGTCGCTCCCTCCTCACTAGCAATGTGAACAATGCTTCTGACATCCCTGTTGTTTTGCAAACGAGTGGCCTTGGCTGCGACATGCAGGCAGTGGACTTCGATGAAGATGGTGATTTGGACCTTCTTCTAGGTCACAGTGGGTTTAGAAAACAGTCTAGTCTTTTCCAGGCGGTTTTTCTTTACCCTCCGAGATTTCGGAGGTATTTTGAGCGAGTATCAAATGAGCTGGAGGAGCGCATTGGAGAGGAGAATCCACTGGCAGCGTTTGGAGGCCAAGTGCTGTGGATTGCAGATCTGGATGGAGATGCACGCTTGGATGTGCTGGCAACAGAAGACATTCGCAAACAGCCCGACAGTCTCAGTCTCAGATGGGATCGCTGCCGCTATTTCCGCCGGACGGCTGCCGGCAGCTTTGTAGAGCCATCAGAGAATCCCCTGGCATTTTTGTTGTCAAATACCTCTCAAATGATGCAGGCCATTATGTCTTCCACCTTAGCGTCTCCCACCTATGAGTTGCACGTGGCAGATTGGAATTCAGATGGTCTGCCAGATGTCTTACGCTTGGAGGTCTTGCTAGGGGTCACGTGGAAGTTGGAAGAGTATTTCCAACATTTGGTCGACACAGAATTGAAGTACAATTATCATGTCAACACGTATGAGGACATCCACGCGGGCAAGCACCTGGGTGGTGCTGATACTTTCAGTCTTGTAGACTGGAACAGGGATGGCTTTCAAGATGTGGTGGTCATGCGATCGTTTTCAAGGTCAGGGTTTTTACAGCTGTATGAATTTGACGGACAGAGAATGAAGGAAGTGGAAGGTGTTTTTGACAATGTCACTTTTGGCAGCGTCCTTGGGGGGCCCCTATTGGTACTGAACACTAACGAATTTGCCACCATGATTGATTGGGACAAAGATGGCAGCTTGGACCTGCTCCTTTCAAACAGAGACAGACTGCTCTTCTTTCAGATGATCTCAGGAAGTTTCCGTGAAGCTTCAGAACATCCCTTCGAAAACATCCGGCTCAATGTGTGGGGGGGACCCAACATCAAACCCATGGTAGTTGATTGGGACAACGATGGGGACCTCGATCTTTTTCTCAGCCTGCCAGATGGTCGCTATTTTGAGCACTTGGAAAACGGAAGTCTGCATGAATGGCCACTGGAGCAAAGCCCACTGTCAACTGCCATGAAATCGCTGCCGCCCCATTCCAAACCCAATCAGTGGCCTCACTCCACACAAACTCAGTGGGAGTGGCAATTTGTGGACTGTGACGCAGATGGTGATTTTGACCTCATTTACACCCATGAAGAAGCAACGCACGTTTGCGAGCATGATGATAGCACGCATGAATTACGATGTGATGCTGCTATCTTGTGTTTGGGAACAAACCTCAGTCACTTTCACAAAGGAGCTGCCTCCGGAAGCGTCTTTGTGGCTTCGGATGGCCTGCTTGAGCTCTTTGTTCAACCTACTGCTAGATCTTCTGGGTTGCAGTTTTGGACTCCTGGCTTTTGTGTGCCAAGCGATCCTTGTCATGGCCGGGGGGGTTGTGTGCGCCGGCAAACCCATTGTGTCTGCCTTGCAGGCCATGAGGCGCACGACTGTTCTCAATGCCAGCCCAACTATTATACTTTGCCAAGAGAGGTGGGGCAAGTGCAAGATTGCAAGGCGTGTCCAGGTGCAGATGGCAAGGTTTGCCATGCTCGTGGCGTGTGCTTTGATGATGCAAGAGCCAAAGCTGCTAAAGCTCTTGAAAACAGGTCTACTGGTGCGTGGATGGCGATAGGAAATGGCTCGTGTAGGTGCAATGAAGGCGATTTCTACGGGAAAGATGAAGAGGGGCGGAGCACATGCATGGATGGGAACTGTCCAGCTGGTACTGAAGAGAGTGATGGTAGTTGCAGCCCTTGTGTTGACGGCTTCTTCTCCAGTACTGGAGGTCGTTGCAAACCATGTCCCGCTGGAAAATTTTCTCTGAAGAGAAGTGGCAATTGTTCCGAATGTCCTGCCGGAACTATTTCAAAGGTTTCAGGCAGCGCTGTGTGTGAACCATGTGAGGCAGGCAGTTTTGCAGAGAAAGGCGGTGCATACTGCAGCCAGTGCCCGCAAGGCAAAGTATCTCCCCCACGCAGTGGTGCTTGTGATCCATGTGATGCTGGTCGCTTTGGGCAGGACTTCCAGACATGCGAGCAATGTCCGGGTGGGAAATTTGCTGATAAGGGCAGCAGCGCATGTGAGGATTGTCCGGTAGGCTCTGTCTCCAGTCCAGGCAGTGGTGAATGCAAGAGCTGTGATGGCCGCTTCCTGATGATGCGAGCTACTGCTGATGCGACCAAGGAAAGATGCCAACCTTCGGTTGTGGATATTGTGCTTGGAATCATTTGCTATTCGGCTTGTTTTGGGCTCCTGGTTTTGACTGGTTTCCGCGGTAGCGTTCCTATTTCGGATATTTCTTCGCAAGGTGAAAAGATCGTGATCACCACTTCCATTGCGCATTATTTTCTGAAACGGGCACATCCAGTTGTGTCCTTCGCTGGCACTGGTGTCCTCGACCTGGATAAGAACGAGAAAAAATTGATTTGGAAGGCAAAAGCCACAAGTTTATACCAGCTCACACTCCATTGCAGCGACAAGCCCGACATGGCACTGGACACATCAATAGGACATTTACATTTGAGGTTTCCGCATGTGCTTCTCTCGACAGGGATGTGGCACTGCCCGCTCATTTTATGGTGCTTGTTCGAGACAACAGTCATTGCAGCTGCAGCAAGCAAACTCACGTGGTCATTGACATTGGTGACATGCACTGTAGGCCTTGTAGCAGGTTTGCTGGCTCTTGCGTGGCGACGAAGGCGGGGGGAAGCCGGTTGATTTTGCCAGAGTTTTGAACCTTTTAAGACCTGTTAAGCATCGTTAGAGGTTTGTCTCACCACCAACAGTGGGCGGACGAAATCAAACACATCTTAAAACATCTTAAAACATCTTAAAACATCTTAAAACGATCAAAACGGACCTGCAGTTTCTTCATGTCTCAATTTGATTCAATTTGAAGTTCCCCTAAGGCAAGGCGAGAGAACGCCATTGGCGAAAAGACGACGCCAGTTTTTCAAGGAGTGGCGTTTGCGTTTGGCTCTGCAGCGATGCGACCGTGGACCTGATCGATCGATGACGGCCGGAAAACTCTTGGAATTCTTGCAGTGGCCTGGCTGACTGGACTTGCGACCAGATCCACATCCATTCATTGTTTGGCTTGGTTGGCTCAGGTTGATCCCAGGTTGCTTCAGGTTGGTTCACCGTGAAAACTGTTTCTTTTCCACCCCAGAAGCGTCAGAACAGCCACAACATATGCGGGGGCACAGCATCCTTCGCGAGAGCCAACAATTTGTTCAGGACTCATCGAAGGAAGTTTAGAAGTCAAACTTCCGACATCATGGACAGATGGAAAAGAGGTGGGAAGAGTCAGAGAAGAGAAGAGAAGAAGAAACAAGATCAGAGAAGAGAAAGAGTCAGACGAAAGAAGATGCGGGTGCGCGAAAGTGTAGAAAAGTCGCGATTCACTGTGTGTTTGCCAATGATTTGTGGCTCCGGAGGGTCGAAAAGTAGGCTCGCTAAAGCGGCGGGTGCGGAGCCATCTGGCCAGATGAGAGATGAAAAATTGCACGCCATTGTGGCACGAAGCAAATTTCGAAGTCAAAACGTACAAAACACACCGTTCTCGGAGCACTTTTGGAAGTTGTGAGATGATGAAAAAGTGCCCAAGTCAAAAGTGCAAAAAACTGACGCTCTCAGACCACTTTTGGCGTTGAGATAAGAAAAAGATTGAAAAAGTGCACGCTTGCGCGAAGCACATTTCCAAAGTCAAAATGTGCAAAACACACAAGGTTCGGAGCACTCTTGGAAGTTGAGATGTCGAAAAAGTGTACGCCGTTGTGGCGCGAAGCACATTTCCAAGGCAAAAGTGCAAAAAACTGACGGTCTCAGACTACTTTTGGAAGTTGAGACGATGAAAAAGTGCACGCTGGCGTGAAGCACATTTCCAAGTCATAATGCGCAAAACACACCAGGTTTGGAGCACTTCTGGAAGTTGAGATGTCGAAAAAGTGTACGCTGTTGTGGCACGAAGCACATTTCCAAGGCAAAATGTTAAAAACACGACATGTTCGGACCACTTTTAGACGTTCAGATGTCGTTGCGCGTGGCCGGCGCAAGGGATTCTGCACCTTGTCAAAAGTGAGCAAAACGTGAAGGTTTTGTAGCAGTAGCAGCTTCAAAAGCGTTGGCAGGAGTGGGACATTTGAAGAGGACCTGCAAAGATGCATTTTCCGTGGCAGGTGCAGTACAAGTCCCGCAAGAGAGCTTCAGTTTTGGGAAGATGATTTCGTGTGGGAGGCGCAGTACTTTAGAGACATGGAATATCATGGAATGGTAAAATCGCAAAACGCATTGGCACGAGGCCGTCAACTCTGCACCGAACTTTCCATTATTGAAGGAAGTCTTGCGGAATTTCTTCGTTTCTGATGTTGCCAACTTCAGAAATTGAGGAAGTCTCGCAGAACTGCTTCGTTTTTGACGTTATCAAGTTCAAAAGTTGAGGAAGTCTCGCAGAGTTGCGTCGTTTTTCATGTTGTCAGCTTCGAAAATGGAGGAAGCTTTGCAGAATAGCTTCATTTTCAATCTTGCAGATAGACAGATAGATAGATAGATAGATAGGTAGATAGATAGATGGACAGATAGATAGATAGAAAGAAAGATAGATTAGATTAGATAGATAGATAGATAGATAGGTCTAGGTGCCAAGGGTTGTTGCCACGGAAAAATCACCAGAAAACACGCGTCGTGTATCAAGGTCAATTTACGCACCAAAAAATTCACCAAGTTGTTGCCACCAAAAAATCACCATGAAACCCTAGGAGTGTTAACGCTACCATGATCATTCCAAGATAGATAGATAGATAGATAGAGATATAGATATAGATATAGATATAGATAGATATAGATAGATATAGATAGATATAGATAAATAGATAGATATAGATAGATAGATAGATATAGATAGATATAGATAGATAGATAGATAGTAGGATAGGATAGGATAGGATGGATAGTTAGGTAAATAGACAGACAGATAGATAGATAGACAGATAGACAGATAGATAGATAGATAGACAGATAGACAGATAGACAGATAGACAGATAGGTAGATAGGTAGATATAGGTAGATATAGGTAGATATAGATAGATATAGATAGATATAGATAGATATAGATATAGATAGATATAGATAGATATAGATAGATATAGATAGATATAGATAGATTTAGATAGATATAGATAGATAGATATAGATAGATATAGATAGATAGATAGATAGATATAGATAGATATAGATAGATAGATAGATAGATAGTAGGATAGGATAGGATAGGATAGGATTGGGTTGGGTTGGATTGGATAGGATTGGATAGGATAGGATAGGATGGATAGTTAGATGAATAGACAGATAGATAGATAGATAGATGGATGGATAGATAGATAGATAGATAGATGGCTAGACAGATAGATAGATAGATAGATAGATGGCTAGACAGATAGATAGATGGATAGATGGATGGATGGGGTAGGGTAGGGTAGAGTAGGGTAGGGTAGGGTAGGGTACGGTAGGGTAGGGTAGGGTAGGGATGGGTAGGGTAGGGTAGGCTAGGGTAGGGTAGGGTAGGGTAGGGCAGATAGATTGATAGATTGATAGATTGATAGGTTGATAGATTGATAGATTGATAGCTTGATAGAGTAGATAGAGTAGATAGATTAGATAGATTTGATAGATTTGATAGATTTGATAGGTTTGATAGGTAGACAGATTAGACAGATTAGACAGATTAGACAGATTAGACAGATTAGATCGATTAGATCGATTAGATCGACTAGATCGATTAGACCGATTAGATCGCTAGATTAGATTAGATTAGATAGGTAGAAAGAAAGGTAGATAGATAGATAGTAGGATAGATAGTAGGATAGGATGTAGGATGGGATAGATAGATAGTAGGATAGGATAGGATAGGGTAGGGTAGGGTAGGATAGATAGACAGATAGGTAGATAGATAGATAGAGATAGAGGGATAGATAGATAGATAGATGGATAGATAGATAGATAGATGGCTAGACAGATTGATAGATAGATAGATAGATAGGTAGATAGATAGATAGGTAGATAGATATAGATAGACAGATAGATAGATAGACAGATAGATAGATAGACAGATAGATAGATAGGTAGATAGATAGATAGGTAGATAGATATAGATAGACAGATAGATAGATAGACAGATAGATAGATAGACAGATAGATAGATAGGTAGATAGATATAGATAGATATAGATATAGATAGATATAGATAGATATAGATATAGATAGATATAGATAGATATAGATAGATGTAGATAGGTAGATAGATAGATATAGATAGATATAGATAGATAGATAGATAGATAGATATAGATAGATAGATAGATTGATTTAGATATAGATAGATAGATAGATAGATAGTAGGATAGTAGGATAGTAGGATAAGATAGATAGATAGATAGATAGATAGATAGATAGTAGGATAGTAGGATAGTAGGATAGTAGGATAGTAGGGTAGGGTAGGATAGGATAGGATAGGATGGATAGTTAGATAAATAGACAGATAGATAGATAGATAAATAGATAGATAGATGGATAGATAGATGGATAGATAGATAATGATAGATAGACAGGGTGATAGATACAGAGACAGATACATCCAGCAGCTGTGGGTGAGGTGACCACTTTAACCACTGCAAAGAGCACAGCTCCAACCACCTTTTGGTCCATCAGTGGATTCGCTCTGCCATGCATGCATCACAACAACGCACCTCTCCTAGTTTTCCTATTCTTGAAACTTCCGCCACCGCCTTGTGCGGTGCTACTGGTAAGTATACAGGCTATTAACATTTGATATGTCAGGGAACATTTTTTGTCCGTGAGGTTTTTCGACAGCTTCATCAAGGAGCGCTCCATGTACTACGTGAGCTCCAACATTGTGAAGCCTCTCACCCAGCCATATCAACTTTCCTTCGCTGAGCTGGTAGGCCCCACCAAGATCCAATGGTTTGTAAGCCACTACTGGGGCATGCCTCTGCGTCACTTTAGTGATGCGATCCGCAAACATGCTTCATCCTATGAGAGTCACTGGCAAGACACTGCTTATTGGATTTGTACCTTTAGCAACAGCCAATGGCACGTGAAGGATGAACTTGGGAATGGAAAATGGCAGGATTCCTCCTTCTACCTTGCTCTCAAAAGTCCAGATTGCAAGGGTACCACCATGATCATCGATGATCACGTTTTGCCTCTGCAAAGGATTTGGTGCTTGTTCGAGGTCTACCAAACAATTTTACTCTCACAGAATGGCAGTGATGGATTTCAAGGTTTACTTCTTTGCACATCGGCGGGTGTGCTGCAACAAGGCAATGCTGGGACGGATGTTGCGATGGCGGTCGCCAAGACAGTTGCAGAGTTGGATACGGAAAACGCGAAAGCAAGCGATGAGTCAGATCGATTGATGATTCATAAACTGATCGAAAGCATGGACGGAGGCTTTGACTATATGAACACCTTCGTTCGGAACACCATTTGCAAAGCTCTGGAAGCCTCCCATTCCCACTACGAGACTACACTCAAGACTTTAATGGAAAATTTGACCGGAAGAGTCTCTGCTCCAGCTGAAGCCCGTCCTGCGCTTCTCACCAGCAGACCCCATCATCCAGAGACTAAGGCAGGCAACTAAATCCAGTATAGTATAGTATAGCAACTCTCGAGCAGAAGGCAAGAATCAAAGCCTTGTGTTGCTACATGCATAGTGCCCGCGGGAATTGAAATTCGCAATTGCATTTTTTCCTTTGGCTTGCAGAAGTCAGCCAATCACATTTAAAATTGTGACATTTGTGTCAAATTTCGCAACCGTTGAAGCTGCAGAGTGCCTTCTGCTGTTGGGAGTGGCAGTGAAATTGACTATATGCATCATTATGCATCTATATACTATACTATATAATAACCTATATATATATAATATATATATATATTACAATGTTGACCCCGGATTAATAACCCCCCCCCTATAGGTCAACTAGGTCAACAAGGTCCAGTGAGGAGGTCCAAAAACCGAACCCCCCAAATAATGTGACCATTCATTCATCCATAAACGATTATTATAAGATTCCTATGGGAAAAGATTGGAAAACCAATGATAAACCATCAGATTCCTATAAGAAAAGATGAGAAAACTTATGATAAACCATGAGATTCCTATGAGAAAAGATGAGAAAACCTATGATAAACCATCAGATTCCTATGAGAAGAGATGAAAAACCTATGGTATATAAACCATAAGATTCCTATGAGAAAAGATGAGAAAACCTATGGTAAACCATCAGATTCCTATGAGAAAAGGTGAGAAAACCTATGATAAACCATCAGATTCCTATGAGAAAAGATGAGAAAACGTATGATAAACCATCAGATTCCTATGAGAAAAGATAAGAAAACCTATGATAAACCATCAGATTCCTATGAGAAAAGATGAGAAAACCTATGATAAACCATCAAATTCCTATGAGAAAAGATGAGAAAACCTATGATAAACCATCAGATTCCTATGAGAAAAGATGAGAAAACGTATGATAAACCATCAGATTCCTATGAGAAAAGATGAGAAAACCTATGATAAACCATCAGATTCCTATGAGAAAAGATGAGAAAATCTATGATAAACCATCAGATTCCTATGAGAAAAGGTGAGAAAACCTATGATAAACCATCAGATTCCTATGAGAAAAGATGAGAAAACCTATGGTAAACCATCAGATTCCTATGAGAAAAGATGAGAAAACCTATGGTAAACCATCAGATTCCTATGAGAAAAGATGAGAAAACTTATAAGATACAATCAGATTCCTATGAGAAAAGATGAGAAAACGTATGGTAAACCATCAAATGCCTATGAGAAAAGATGAAAAACCTATGGTATATAAACCATAAGATTCCTATGAGAAAAGATGAGAAAACCTATGGTAAACCATCAGATTCCTATGAGAAAAGGTGAGAAAACCTATGATAAACCATCAGATTCCTATGAGAAAAGATGAGAAAACGTATGATAAACCATCAGATTCCTATGAGAAAAGATAAGAAAACCTATGATAAACCATCAGATTCCTATGAGAAAAGATGAGAAAACCTATGATAAACCATCAGATTCCTATGAGAAAAGATGAGAAAACCTATGATAAACCATCAGATTCCTATGAGAAAAGATGAGAAAACGTATGATAAACCATCAGATTCCTATGAGAAAAGATGAGAAAACCTATGATAAACCATCAGATTCCTATGAGAAAAGATGAGAAAACCTATGATAAACCATCAGATTCCTATGAGAAAAGATGAGAAAACCTATGATAAACCATCAGATTCCTATGAGAAAAGATGAGAAAACCTATGGTAAACCATCAGATTCCTATGAGAAAAGATGAGAAAACCTATGGTAAACCATCAGATTCCTATGATGGGATAAACCATCAATTCCGATGAGAGGAAACCACGCAAAAACCATCAGATTCCTATGGGAAAAGGTTGGACAACTAGTGGAAAACTATCAGGTTCCTATGGAGAAAAAAGAAAACCCTTGGTAAACCATAAGGTTCCTATGGAGAAAGAATAGAAATTAAATGGTAAACCATCAGAATCCCATGAGGGAATGACAGAGAGTCAGTCACCTCTTCCCAACATGATGAGCCAACCCAAAAAACCTCTGAAACCAATGTGTTTGGCAATAGCGCGGCTTCGACCTAATGAAAGCACAGCTCTTGCAATGAAAGAGAGTCACCTCTTCCCAACATGATGAGCCAACCCACAAAAAACCTCTGAAACCAGTGTGTTTGGCAATAGTGCGGCTTCGACCTACTGAAAGCACAGCTCTTTCAATGAAAGAGGGCCACCTCTTCCCAACATGATGAGCCAACCTACAAAAAAAACCTCTGAAACCAGTGTGTTTGGCAATAGCGTGGCTTCGACCCAATGAAAGCACAGTTCTTGCAATGAAAGAGAGTCACCTCTTCCCAACATGATGAGCCAACCCACAAAAAACCTCTGAAACCAGTGTGTTTGGCATTAGCGCGGCTTCGACCTAATGAAAGCACAGCTCTTGCAATGAAAGAGAGTCACCTCTGCCCAGCATAATGAGCCAACCCACAAAAAACCTCTGAAACCAGTGTGCTGGCAATAGTGCGGCTTCGACGTACGGAAAGCACAACTCTGGCAATGAAAGAAAGCCACCGTGAAGTAATTAGAGGCAATGTCCAGAAGCAGGCAAAGGTAGCTAACATAACAGCAAGACATTGGCAGAGAAAGACGCACAACACACAAGCATTCAAGCCAGCTGTGTGCCACCCCCGGGCTGCAAGACGCACCCTCCGGGAATCTAAGCCCCTGTGTGCCACCCCCCGGGCTGCAAGACGCACCCTCCGGGAATCGAACCTGGGTCCATTGGCCCAAAGCCTCTTCAATACCACTATGCCGCGGGGGCTTGCCCTAAACGGCAAAAAATTGCTTTATAGAACCACTGACTGGGCCTGGAAGGGGTTTGCTGGAATCAAAAACACAATGCGCAACACCCCCCTAACCCCCCAACCAAACCCGCAGCCAAACCCCCAAACAACCCCCCCAATTAATGAAACCCCCCCAAATAACCCTCCCCAACCCTTTGGTAGTCGCCTCCAGCTCACGAAAGGCTCTTGCAACGATAAAAAGTCACCTTTTCCCATCATCATGAGCCAAAAAACCTCTGAAACCAGTGTGTTTGGCAATAGCGCGGCTTCGACCTAATGAAAGCGCAGCTCTTGCAATGAAAGAGAGTCACCTCTTCCCAACATGATGAGCCAACCCACACAAAACCTCTGAAACCAGTGTGTTTGGCAATAGCGCGGCTTCGACCTACTGAAAGCGCAGCTCTTGCAATGAAAGAGAGTCACCTCTTCCCAACATGATGAGCCAACCCACAAAAAACGTCTGAAACCAGTGTGTTTGGCAATAGCGCGGCTTCGACCTAATGAAAGCGCAGCTCTTGCAATGAAAGAGAGTCACCTCTTCCCAACATGATGAGCCAACCCACAAAAAACCTCTGAAACCAGTGTGTTTGGCAATAGCGCGGCTTCGATACTGAAAGCACAGCTCTTGCAATGACAGAGGGCCACCTCTTCCCAACATGATGAGCCAACCCACAAAAAACCTCTGAAACCAGTGTGTTTGGCAATAGCGCGGCTTCGATACTGAAAGCACAGCTCTTGCAATGACAGAGGGCCACCTCTTCCCAACATGATGAGCCAACCCACAAAAAACTTCTGAAACCAGTGTGTTTGGCAATAGTGCGGTTTCGACCTACTGAAAGCACAGCCCTTGCACTGATAGAGGGTGCCTTCTATCAAATTACGTCGTCGTTGTAGTAGTTGTAGTTGTAGTTGTAGTTATAGTTGTAGTAGTAGTAGTAGTAGTAGTAGCAGCAGTAGTAGTAGTAGCAGTAGTAGTAGTTGTTGTAGTACTTTGTAATACTTTGTAGTATTAGTAGTAATTATTAGTAGTTTTAGTAGTATGAGTAGTATGAGTAGTATTAGTAGTATTAGTAGTATTAGTAGTAGTAGAAGAGGAAGAAGTAGCAGTAGTAGCAGTAGTAGCAGAAGCAGTAGCAGCAGCAGTAGTGATAGTGGTAGTAGTAGCAGTAGTAGTAGTAGTAGCAGTGGTATTAGCAGTAGTATTAGCAGCAGTAGTAGTAGCAGTAGTAAAAAGTGCCACATTGGAAAAACATATTTGCGAAGTGGATGAGGAAAGATCAGGCAATGTTGATATAGTTGTTGAACTAATTCATTGCTTAATTGATTGCAGTCTGAAGCACGCATATAAAAAACTCATCGCGGCTGGCTGGGGTTTACTAATTGGGGGGGGCGTCCTTTTATTTGTGGGGGGGACACCGCTCAAGGGGGGTAGCCTTTCTGAGCTCCCAAAAACAGCATTTTTTAATTAAATTTTAATTAGAAATCGATCATTTGGGGGATGCGTTTTTTTTTCCAGTTTTGGCGTCTTGAAAGCCACATTGCAAAAATATATTTGCGAGGTGGATGAGGAAAGATCAGGCAATGTTGATGTAGTTGTTGAATCAATTCATTGCTTAATTGATTGCAATCTGAAGCACCGCATATAAAAAAGTCATCGCGGCTGGCTGGGGTTTACTAATTGGGGGGGGCTCCTTTTATTTGTGGGGGG